CAATCAACGGTTCAATGCACCAATTTAATTAACAACACTTTAAAAGAAAATGTAAACATATACTAAATTCCCTTTATTATTGCAAAAAAAGTAAATAAACATAAAATAACTAGAATTTACAAATTAAATAAAGCATAATTAGCAATTAAAGAAAAGAAACAATTGTAATTAAGAAATCAAAAAATTATTAGGGCCTAAATTGTAAAAATTAGAAAGTTTTTGGAGTTAAATTACAATTCTTAAAAAGATTAAGGGTTAAAGTAAATAAAAATAAAGTTTAGGGGCCAAATGCAATTTAAATAAGGGCCTAAATGAGAGAAATCCAAAGTTTTAGGGTTACAATAAAATTACTTAAAAGATTAGGGGTGAAATTATAAAAAATTTTACATATTAAACAATGTTGGGCAATTTTTACGCATTTGGGCCGCATCACTTTGACCCAAGAAAAATAAGCAAAGTTGTCTTATTGAAAAGAGCAGCCTAGTCCAATTCATTTTACAAATTTAAACCTAATAAAGGTACTGGACTTGAGCTCCAAAACCCATGTCACACATTCAAAAAAAAAAAACACTAACCCATTATATATATATATATATATATATATATATATATATATATATATATATATATATATATATATAATAAAGTCGTATTCTCATTTTTATCCCTTAGGCCTTAATATTTTCTCTTTCCTACGTGGCTTAACAAGACGGCAAGTAGTTTCCTATGTGACTTGCTTCTTTTTTGTTTAGATATATATCAATTCTTATTTCCTATAAGAATTTTTAATATTATATGATTCTTATTTCTTACCCAAAAATGAAATTGGAAAGTAATGCGATATAAATAAAAGAGACATAAATATCTCTATTAGATATATCTCCAAATTCATGCCAATAATTTGTGTACTGCATAGGGAACCGAAATAAATAAGAATTGTTATCACTAGAAGAAGTAGAAAAGTAACAAATTTCAAAATGAACCATTAATAACAGAACTCAATATCTGATGTTGGAAATAAGATTCTTAATAAATTTTATTATTAAGTGCGTTATCAAGACATAGTGCATAGCACGAAATTTATGGAAAACAAAAAGTTAATTGAATCCAATTAACTATATGTATTTGACCTATACGGTCAAATATAAATTCCTATTTGAGCACAGGTTTGTAAATTCTTATAAACCCGTTCGTTGTTAATCAAAACATGCAGGTTATACTCATTGTTAGGTTATAGGATTCACAATACATCTCTGCTCAGATGGTAGGGAGTATTTAGTGTGTGGGCCCACACCATAGGAGTCCATGCGCTTAAAGGACTCGATATAGTTGAGGTGGTCTTTCAAAATAGGTAAAATCTATCTTGAGAACGCACTTTTATTTCCCATAAGAATTCTTAATATTATAGGATTCTTATTTCTTATCCAAAGTTACGTACTTTAAACAACTTAAATCAAGATAAACCTACATTTAATGTTCTTATCAATATCTTTTTATATTCTTATCAATTCTTATTTCTTATGCCTACATTACATATAGCCTCTAATATATTGATTTCAAGCATCAAATTCATGGTTAAGTATTTTCAGTGCAAGCGGTTGGCACATTAAAACATCGATTTTGGATTTCCACTCCTCTTGATTATCAGGTACATCTTCTTTTAATACATATATTTTTTTAAATGACATATTGATCTTCAATTGTAAAAGTTTAGTAATATATCTTGAATTTTGTTTTTTTTTTGTTTTTATTTTCTGTTTGTTTTTTTATGAACACATAGGATTAGTAATATATCTCGAATTAGTAATAAATTTCTCTTATATTTCACATATTATATCTCACATAATATTTTTGCCTTTAATTTTGATAAATTATTATCAGATTGGTGGAACCGACAACCAATACCAACCTGAAGCATCTTCTTCCCAGATCTCAATTAGTATAACGGATGATTCTAATCAACAACACTTCAATACACTTCATATGAATCATTCATTAGAGGGTTCAACAAAAACCACAGAGGAAGGGAATCCTCATAAAAAGATTTGCATGAGAAGGTAAATTTAATATACTATTTTACTTTCTTAAATTATAATCTTTACGTGTTGTTATACACAATCTTGAATGCGATAAATCATTTATTTTCTTATACTTAGTTATCCTGCTTTGCTATCATGCAGTGATAATGGAAAATCAATAAATGCTGATTTGCACGGACAAATCGAGGAGAATGTTCAAACAGATGAAAAACAAAAACAAGTTTCTGAAGAGTAGAATATTATTTGATACTATTTACTGCATTTTTTATTTATTTTCAAGTTTTTGAATGTTATGGTATTGTTGAATGTTATTTTTTCCATTTTTAAATTATTATTTACTGAATTAGATGTTCAAATTTATATTATAAGAATATTTTATATTACAATGTGCATATAGTAATATACTTAAGAAAGGTTATAGTAAAATATACACTAAGTTTGTATTTCATATCAACATTTTTATAAAATTGACTAAATAATTTATTATTTTTTGAAGATTCCCGTTCAACGAACGGGTACAAAACTAGTATATATAATAAAGTCGTATTCTCATTTTTATCCTTTTATTTTATCTCTTTCCTACATGGCTTAACGACAGGGCAAGTAGGTGCAACGCGCTTTATGAGTTAACCCCTAATAACCTACGCTATTCCATCCTTTTTTTTTTTTAACTTTTACAATTCTAGATAATTCTTTCATAATTATCTCTTTCATTCTTTCACCTTTTTTTTTCCTTAACCCTAATCGTCAAGCCTAAATTTCCTGGGAATTAATATAAATAATTTTGAATTATGTTTTTAACTCTCTCTCATCTTCAACTCAAAAGTTCGAAATATCAATTCGAATATTAGATTATTTTTATCAGATTATCGCTATCGCAGTTACTCTACATTTTTACTCATATATATGGTTTTCGATCTATTATTCATTACTTTATCAAGCAGTGAAAATGTTTACACTTTTTCCACCAATTTTTTTGGAAAGTTTTTCTTTTTTTTTAACTTCAATGCAAGGATCAGATTTGGAATTTCGTTTTTATTCCCTCAAGGACCGCATTTGGACTTTGTTTATGCTCGCTGTATGTGGTCTATAATTTCCTACACCTTCTTCATAGCTAGGTCATTGAATTTGAATTTTCTAAGTAAGTCTTCAAAAGTTACGGTTTGATTTTTATTTCTGACAAGGCTTTTGTAATTAATTTGTTATTTCAATGTATGGATTCACTTTTCAATTCAAGTAGAACACATATTGCTTTTTGGTTAGTGATTTAAAAGTGGCCTTTTAAACTATGTGTTTTCACAAGATTTTTTAATTGCCTTTGATAATTTATTAATTGTCTTCAACAATGTACTAATTTTTTTTTATTTTCTAGGTTTCTGGGGTTAAAAAAATTTTGTGCAGTTTTCAATGTTTTTTTTAGACTTTGGTAGAAAGCTTCTAAAGAACAAGAAGGTGTCACTGATTACATAAATGGCAAGGCATCAAGTTCATTGTCATACAGCAGTTCATGTCATGCAATATACATCAGACTATTTAGATTTTTTATATTTTTGACTTAGGAGCAAAATACATCTTACGTTTTCGTTTTGCTTCTATTAGCCGTGAACAGATTTGGAAGGTTGCTGTGTTCCTATGACATGATTGATTCTGAATTCTGATCTTTTATTAATATTTCATTCGGCTTCTTTTCTTTTCACATTAACCTTTAAGCCATTTATATTAAGTACCAAAATTGATGTTTTGGTAACTGGTTGGCCATTCTTTTGTTTACAGAAGATCAGCCAAGATTGATCTTGCCTATTTTCAAGTTTTTGAATGTTATCATATCGTCGAATATTTTTTTTTGAATTATTAATCACTGAATTAGATGTTTAAATTTACATTATAAGACTATTTTTGAATAACAATGTGCACATAGTAATGTATTTAAGAAAGGTTATAATAGATTATACAATACGTTTGTATTTTATGCAAATAGTTTTATGAACTACACTAAATAATTTATTATTTTTAAACAATTCCCATTCCACGAATGGGTACAAAACTAGTTTCTTTAATATAAACAAGATCTAGTAGCAGCTAAATGATTTGGAAAGATCAAAACAAAAAAGACAACAAGGAAAAAATTAAGAGGAAAGCAAAACCTTAAACCTGTGTTTGTTATGTATATATATGAAACAAAAATGATTATGGGATTTTTTTGCTCTTTTTCTCTCTCCTACCCCAGATCTTATGTGGCCGCTTCCTTGCTCCTTTTTCTCCTCTCAAAACTGTTAAACCTGCGTTTGCTATGTATTTATATGAAACAAAAATTCTAAAACCTAGCAATGAAGGGTTGAGATAAAAATGGGTAATATGCTATTTTTTCCTCCCTTTGATTCATTTGTGTTGTATCTTCAAAGATAAAATTTGGGATGTAATGAGCTGTCCTTGTACCAACCCAGCCTTGGGGAGAAAGAAAGAATGAAAAAAAAAAAATCTTGCAACAAAAGCCAACTGCTTACGGCTTTGCTTGTACCGGTTCATTTGTCTGTGAAAATGGGAGGAATATGGCACACATGCAATACATGCATGCGTAAAGAAAAGCGTTGGGCCATCGGGCCTCTTTACTTCCAGGCTTTTGCTGGGTTTTACTTGGGCTTTATTTGAATTTTGGATGGGTTTTTATTTGGGTGTTTTTTTTAGGTTAGAAGCAAATAAAAAAACTTTTACTATTTTTCTTGCATTTGAACATCCATTTTTCCTTTTCTTTTTCTTTCTTTTGACATAAACTTACAAAATAAAATTAAAATAATTACTTAAGCCATTTATAAGTAAAAAAATAAAACTAAAAATAGTGGATTTGAAATTTAAAAAAAATTGATGTCTACAACTATTACTACTAAAGAACAAAGTAAGAAAATGAAATCCAAGAAAGAAGAAGAAGAAAAAGAGAATACATTCACTTTTAACGCATATCAATGATGATTGTAAAGGACTTTTATTATATTATTATTATAAACAATGAAAAGAAAATTTGATGCAACGACGTTCCATTTGGATACATACAAAAGCTTATTCTAATGGACAGGCAACTTGAATAAGCCTGTACATCTCTCTCTCTCTCTTTCTCCATAATCCAGAATCATATACACATTATTATTTTCTTCTTCCTTTTATAGGTCTTATAAGGGGCCTAAGGCCCTAAGTACATACTAGTATTATTTTTGCTTCGATGCAGTCATTAATTAATTTGGACGCTCTTCGGTTTTCACATCATACCGTACCATATAGTTGTAGAATCACACACACACTAAGGTCACCCACCAAATTCTCTGCTCCTCTCACATGATCGTGCAACCCGTACTGTTCTCCTCACTGAAATAATCGCAGCGACTGTACGGGTACCCCTTCCCATATCCGTACCCGTAAGCATAGCTATCATAACAAGGTGGCGGGGGCACAGGCCGCCCGTACCCGTACCCGTACCCGTAGTAGCATGGTCCCCCGCCGTACCCTTCCGAACATGGGACACAACAAAAGCCCACTGGAACTGGTGGGTGCGAGCACGGTTCAGGTGGTGGTGGTAGTGGTTTGGGCTTTTCTGGAGGTGGCTTGGGCTTTTCGGGCTCCTTCGGCTTTTCTGGAGGTGGCTTGGGCTTTTCCGGCTCTTTGGGCTTTTCCGGGGGTGGCTTGGGCTTTTCGGGCTCCTTCGGCTTTTCTGGAGGTGGCTTGGGCTTTTCCGGCTCTTTGGGCTTTTCTGGGGGTGGCTTGGGCTTTTCCGGCTCTTTGGGCTTTTCTGGGGGTGGCTTAGGCTTTTCGGGCTCTTTAGGCTTCTCCGGCGGTGGCTTGGGCTTTGGTGGCTCCACGATCTCAATGCTCTTAATGACTTTGCCACCCTTGCAACATAATTTGTCGCGGATTTTCTCGGGGCTACAGCACACGACGGTGATGGTCACCAGATTTTGCTTCTCATCATATATCTGGTCTCTGATTTCTCTTGTCCAAAAACATTGAGCATCACCCCCAACAAAAGAAAAAAAAAAAAGAAAAACTCAAATTCTTGTCCATACAAATTAAAGCCACTAACTGATCACAAGTAGTTTCATAAGCCACACTACCCAACTTTTGTTGTTGAACTCGGCTAATAAATAATCATGGAGAAGGGGAAAAAATTATTTTTAAAAAAAACTGTAGCTCATGGTGGCGCACATGCCTATCCATGTACATAGTCGGTGGAACGGTGGATGTCCTTCAACTAACTGTACTTGCTCTAAAGAAGAACTACTACTACTCTACTGGTATTGAAAACATAAAGAGACTCACGAGGAAATTTGCAGAGGATTTTCTTGACCTTCTTGTAGCAGCAGGGGCATTGAAGATCAACCTTGAGTCTCATCGTAGTCACCTGTATGGTTGCATATATATTATCGGAGCAAAATAGTCAAACTCGATCCATACATGTGTGTGTGTATATATATATATATAACAATCAAGAAATGCACAATTATATGGTTTACGCTGGGAGATGTGGGTAGAGATCTTGATATAAAGAGAAGCAAGCATATCTCGCGTTGTATGTGCTGTCATAGACTTGCAATTATAATTTTCAGATTGAGCAAGCAAACACTACTAAAAAAAAGATGCAAAACAATAATATATCACGAACATTTGAGGGATGGTTGGGAAAGCTAGCAGGAGAATTGGCTTACCTTCTCAGCCATGGTTGATGAAGGAAGGAGTCAGTGATCAGTGGCGATGGGTGGATCTGATCAAGAATCCACAGCCCAAATGACAATAAATGGTTGGGGAGTTGGGTGCGGGAGCGGAAGAGTCGGGGAGTGGGGAAGGGATGTAGGCAGGCAAGCAAGCAAGCAGTATACTACTAAACTGATGCTAATAAATGGTGGAAGAATTAGACGGTAGGAGGCAATTAGGTAGAAAAAAGTGGGAGGACTTTATGTAGAAAGATGGCAACCGGGCAGCTTGCAGTGCTAACTACTACTCCCTAGTAATAGTATGGAAGGAAGGAGGGAGGGTGGAAACGAAATGAAAGGGGCGTTGAATTTTGCTGCTTTCTAATACGGGCGTATGAGGTAAGGTAAGGTAGGCTAGGCATATGTGGTGGCCTGGAATTGCTGAGTTGTGACGCTCCATCAACATCCATCCTCCATACTCCGTTCGTTGCTGCCTTTGAATTTTGATATGCCCACCTCACCTTCCAAAATATATTTTATTATTTATATTACCAATTCCCACGAAACCATGATGACTATTAATGACAGTAATGAAGTTATTAGTAGTGAGTACTGATGATGGAAATTATGAGCTTATCCAAGCATATGATGCATCTCCCCCACATGGGCCAACCATTTTACACTACACAATTTTTTATTTTTTGCTTTTTTGGGCGTGGCATCAATCTATACTTCGACTGATTAGTGACTCCTCCAATGTTAATTGTCCCCTTCCTCTCTCTCTCTCTCTCTCTCTCGTGCAAGTGACTGCATATATTTGTTAAGTAGACCGTTAACAACACATTTCAAGGGTAATCATGCTGAGATTTAACTAATGCTCACAAAAATTATGATTATTATTGTTGGTTTAAGGATAACTTTTTCTACTCCCGGGTTAGATCACCCGGTCTGCGGCTGGAAAATCACTCGCAAGGTCGTGGGATCGAACCTCACCTAACGCCTGGGTGCGGTTGGGGTGGCGCTGTACTCCAGGCGCAGGGGATTAGTCGGGCCGCCTTCGGGTCTTGACCCGGACACCCCTGTGTTGACAAAAAAAAAAAAAAAAAAAAACTAACAGATTTATATTATACCACATAGTATGAATTTAAATTTTATATTCAAAATTATTAGTATGTAAAAAAATCACTACATTTTTATTTTCAATATATAAAATATTAATTCTTATTTTAAATACACAATTTTTATGTATGAGTAAGCTAGCTCCAAAGGTTTTTGCTTTGTGTGTCTCCTGATATGCTCATAAAATTACATTTACCGTTAGCCAAAAGGGAGAGAGAGAGAGAAAGAAAAAGAAAAAGAAATCGTACGAAAGAAAGCCAAAAGCAAATGAGGATGGCGGAGGAAAGACTCTTTATTAACACCGACAGTTTTCATGTAGACACGTACCAAACTTGTTAGCGTGTGTGGTAATACCACCGTACAGAGCCATCAATCAATCCCATAAATTAAAAGACCAGGCCAAAAATGTCGTTATCTTATTATTATCAAGAAGTTCATTATCCTATGCCCTTTGCAATTAACTATGAATTTTTTTTTTCTACTGAGTAATACTCGTTGGGCAATCATTACGACACTTAAATCACATCTAATAAACCACATGTAAGCGTACATATTGATAATTATTATTATCTTATCTTGTGTTTATATACTTTTTTTATTTAATTTTATTTTTTAAAAAAAAAAAATATCAACACACGAATTCCATCCTAACAACGGTAAAGCCACTAACTATTTATTACCAGTTTGGTTATTATATCGGGGGTTTAACATATACATGATGACTTTGTTGGATGGATTTTGTGACAACATTCATTCCGGATGCAAGTGTAAAGTGTAAACATAGAAGTGATGAATTACTACTGTTGGGGAATCCTAAGCAAAATTTGAGATTTGAGAGCCGGCAGCACCTACCCCGCCCCACTGCACTGCTGCTTTACTACTCTTTATGTTCCTAGAAGATAGATAAAGTAGGAGTGGAAATAATTCACTGCTAATTTGTAAACAACTGACGAAAATGGGAATAGGAGTTGGTGGCTGAACGGGCGATGGTCGGCATCAGGGACAAGAACTCGCTTTCATCTGTCCAGCAAGGACATTTCAATTGATCACACCAAATTGGTGTGGAAGACATTAAGGACTTAGCTAAACTGTTTCGAATGTGCCCTTTTAGATTACAAAAAAAAATACCACAAATATGATGGATTTATGTCATAGGCTTAGCGTTCACGCTTCAAACATTACTCCTTATAAGTGCGAGCGTATGCACTGTTGTAAAGCTTTGCTGGAGCCCTTTGCCCAACTTTTGTTGTAAAGTTTCTTATGATCAATACATCGTTAATGTTTCCGAAAAAAAGAAAAAGTAAACAACTAAAGAAAAAAGTTAAATTGACGTAAAGCAGCTCAAAGTCATAATACATCACATCCAAAACTATTTTTACACATCAACTTTTACTGCTTCAAGTAAAAGTGAGATCCATCTTAATCCTTCTTGGTTCCTTTATATGCAAAATGGTGAAGATCTGAAAAATATCCATTATAATCTAATGCACTACCCGTTGGTCCAACTTTGTAGAGAAAGTCAGTTGCTACTTATTTTTTGTTCTTTACTATTTGCGCTTACCTTCCCACGCTTTTATTAATATATTTTTTACTCCTTTACAATACAACTTGTACACAAGCATAAGGGCATTTATGGAATAAAAGTTTATCTCTCTTCGCAAAATACATTTTTAATGGTAATTTTTCTGATTTGGACTAATTTTGTTACCGAAATCTAAACCTTGAGGGAGGTTAGTGTAATTTTACAAACCTCAAGAGAGGTCAATGAAATTATTGAAAACCTCAAGGGAGGTTTCTAAATTATCCCTTTTATGTATCTGACCTGTCTTCTCTTGCCCTTACAACTAGTCAAATTTATTTTGGACAGCATTCTAAGTTCAACCCTCGGAAGATTTACACCTCATGCTTTTGCAACTTGAACAACAGAATTTTTTTTTTTCTGCAAAACCAGTTATCAATACTGCCCTACCAAAAGTTAGGTCCCGGATGAAGCATAAGCCTCAAAGTTTGCCAGCTAACGACTGATCGTCACTTGACTCGACTAGTTGAATGGATCTGTTCGTACCCTGGAATTGAATAACGAATAATCGTCACATGCCTAGACTAGTTGAGTGGATCAGGTACCCTGGAATTGAATAACGAATGATCGTCACTTGCCTAGATGAGTGGATTGTGTATACTGGAGGAATTGATGAAGGAAAGGAGTGGCGGCCCATCTTGAAACCCAGATCTGTTCGTAGCAATTCTATGGGCTCACTCTTGAAACTACACGGTGAGGCCCATGAGACTGGCTGCAGAGTGCAGAGCCAGGCAGCAGGCAAAATGCCGTTGGACATGAATATGAATTGTCTTTCTTCATCCAATCCAATATATAAACTAGGTACGGTGTGAAATCAAAATAATAACGTATCATGTACTAACACGTTGTGATGATAGTATCGAAGAATTCAACCATTTGAGAAACGCAAGATCCATCCATGGAACTTGGACCACTTATGCAGTGGGCTGCCGTCTTTGTCAAATGTTACAGCCCCGTCCTTTAAATTGTGGTGGCCGCTTCTTTCTCTGTGATTTCAGGTCAGGATAACCTTGCCATCCCTCCTAGACAAGTATACCGTCTTCATCACTATACATGATATGTTAGTGTACGCAAAGCTTTTGAAAAAAAAAAATCGCCCCACTTCGGGACGTCGGTTACTCTTTGTCTATTCGCCAAAACTTGTCCTTCTTCCCCCAACTTTTCTATTTTCTTTTTTACTGCCGTTGTTTTTTTGCCTCTTGCAAAATATTATTACTACTCGCTTTTAGACGTATACTAGTGTTCGATCTCTCTTGGAATGATGAGGAAATGTGCTGCGTTAATTGTTCCTTCCTGCACTTGTACGTCTGTTTTTCTGTTTTAACATTTTGCGTCTTGCTAAGTTTAAAGATGTCGTCAAAACATTTGAACAGCAACTTACAATCTTTCCCATAACGTGCAATGTTGAAGCTATGGTCCGTCCAGTATATTTATCCCGCTGCAGTTAAAATAGTTACAGTAGTCATCAAAAAACATACTCCTACTGAAGTTATTATCCTTGTGCATGTTCTACAAATCTTTAAAAAGGTCTCCCCAAGAAAACTTGTGGTACTCATTTAACCCGAGGAATTTTGAGATAGAAATTTAACCTTAGATGGGTAAACAAAAAGGGACAGCCATGCATGAAGAAATAGTATATAGATTTCACTTAATTTTCTTTTTCCTCATCGCACCTGGATTTTGTGGCTTGTCTTCGAGTAGTGCCTGTTGACCTCTTCTGCATTAATTTCTGTAATTAGCCGATTAAGTCATTAAGCTATAGTAAGTACTAGCAAATTATTGCCTAATCCAATAGCCGTAGCATATGGCATTAAATTAATTGCTTTCGGATGCTTAAATCTTGCACTTGCAGCTTCAATTCTGAAGAGTTAAAGATTTCGTATACACGCTTGTACCCTCCTATGGAAGCCAAAATTCAAAAGTAGGCAGAAGCCTGTTTTGTATTTAGGCAACAACTAGTTCTCAAGAACTATGTGATGACATGTGGAAGCAAGTGGTAAATTGGAATTATTTTCTAACCAATTAATTAATCATTATTACAAGGTCGATCATCTTAATTAATTTGGGATCATCAAAATAATATAGCCGATCAAGTATGTAATGTAATCGAAGAAGGAAGTTGAGTAATTCCAATAGTTACATTAGTCATCAAAAAACATACTCCTATACACACACACACACACACAATAGTTACAGCAGATTATATACATGAGCGGAAGCCAGAAGCGTCACATATATACAGTGAATGGTTTCCTGAAAACTGGTCGTAAATTGGGGGCGGGGAGGTCCCGCTAGATTCCAACTTTTCTTTTTTAAAGATCCTGATAGCCCTTACCAGGCCGACCATTCGTTTGGTTTTTGCTTGCAGGATAACTCCAAGGGCTTTTACAAAGTTGGAATCCTTTCCCATCCATCTCCGTAATAATTCGTAGTATTTCCTTTCCATTAACTTCTACGTATGCAAGATTTTATTTACTATATATATTTTTTCCTAAATTACTGTAGTGTCAGACTACTATTTAATCAGTCAAAGGCGACTACTACATTTGCAGATGATGTACTCGTAGTCGGAGATAGAATCATAAGCAGGGGGCCAAAATTATGAGGTGCTGAGTCAGCTGAAGGACAGCACCGTAGGCAACTCGCTTTAAAGAAATTTGGAATTTTGGAGCAGCCGCAGCAGTGGGCACCGGGCAGTGTAGGCAGTACCACCAGACCGCGACCACCCGCTACTTAAATTAAACGTTCCTCTCTTCCCATTTTCCTTCACCCCAAAGCCCCGAGCTTGCTGTATGCCTACTATACTGAGAGAAAGGGTCCTTGCTCTCATTTCATTTCATTTCTTGTATAAGAAAATCTCCACGATCCCCCCCCCCCCTCCTCCCTGCAGTAATACATTCTATATAAACATATATACTACTGATTAGTAGTATTAGCTAGGACTAGGAAGAGGGGCTTGTCAGAGTTAGACGATATGGGCGAAGTAAGTTTTTAGTTTTCTACTTCCAAATATCCTTGCACAAGATTATTCTAATTGCTCCCTCGAATGAACGGAAGGAAATCCCAGTAACTACTGTAATAAGTTTTGCTATCACTTTCTCATTGATCTCATGCATGGTATGCTGCAGGAGAAGAAAGAGGAAGCGAACAAGGAGGAGCAACAGAAACAAGTACCGGGAAACAAAGAAGATACTAGTAAAAAGGAAGAAGAAGGGGACAAGAAAGAAGAAAAGAAGGAAGAAGAGGTTCAGGAGATTGTTCTCAAGGTTTGCGCTAACTACACAATACTACTACTAAATGCTTCAAATGCATTTGCTCTTACCGCCCACCAAACAAAATTAATTGATTACTAATTTGGACGCTCTTCACATCATATCAGTAAAATCACCCCATCAAATTCTCTACTCCTCTCTCACATAATCGTGCAACCCCCAGTGTTGTCCTCATTGAAATAATTGCAACGGCTGTCCGTATATCCCTTCCCATGCCCGTACCTGAAACCATAGCTATCATAACAGGGCGGCGGGGGCGCGGGCCGCCCATAACCATAGTAGCATGGCCCCCCGTTGTACCCTTCCGAACATGGGACACAGCAGAACCCCACTGGAACTGGCGGGTGAGAGCACGGTTCAGGTGAAGTCGGTGCTGGTGGTGGTGGTGGTGGTGCAAGTGCCATCGGCTTTTCAACTACTGTAACTGGGGGTATACTTCGACTGATTAGTGACTCCTCCAATGTTAATTGTCCCCTTCCTCTCTCTCTGTCGTGCAAGTGATTGCATATTTGTTAAGTAGACTGTTAACAACACATTTGAAGGCGCAGCGCAGCGGAATTTAATTGAATTGGGACGCTTGTAATATAACCAAACAGATTGGGCTTTATTTTCTCAAATTTATTTGTTTACATCATCGTTACAATTTCCAATACACCTTTTTACCTTTCCAATTACCTTTTTATCTCACATACATCACATCACAAAAAGTGCTACAGTAAAAATATCTCTAATAATTCACAATCCAAACAGACTTTTTAAGATAATAGTCGGACGAGAATCAAGTAACGTAATCATGCTGAGATATATTTTTTAGGGGTATCCGTAGGAAATGGATCCCACAAACTATTCTCCACACTCCACAACTTGTTAGCAGCAAGGTTCGACCAGGGACAAGCTGCAGAGGGCACTAACAGATTTATATTATACCATATAGTATGAATTTAAATTTTATATTCAAAATTATTAGTATAAAAAAATTATTATATTTTTATTTTCAGTATATAAAATATTAATTCTTATTTTAAATACACAATTTGTATGTATGAGTAAGCTAGCTCCAAAGGTTTTTGCTTTGTATGTCTCCTGATATGCACATAAAATTACATTTACCGTTAGCCGAGAGAGAGAGAGAGAGAGAGAGAGAGATGAATTAGTACTGTTGGGGAATCGTAAGCAAAATTTGAGATTTGAGAGCCGGCAGCACCTACCCCGATATAGCTGTTGGGGTTGACCCAGATATAGCTTTTTGAGGAAGAAGAGATGGTTTTAGCATCTGGGCGGTGAGGAATTTGGGAAATTGAGGGGGATTGTTGTTGGGAAGCCGGTATAGAGAGGGAAGGTTTTGGATGGGGCTTGAGAGGATGAAAAGCGAGGGCGTTATGGGGGATGATTCCGAGTTGGTGGAGGTGAGTGGGATAAAGAGAGTTACAGAAGAGGTGTGGGTCGCGAGAGAGATGAGACGGCGAATAGGCGGCGGCCACCATTCTTCTCTCTACTCTCCTTCCTTCCTTCTCAGTCGACACTCAGCAGAGCAGTCAGCAGCATTTGAGTTTTCTTCTTCTTTTTTTTTTTTTTCTACATTGGGCTGCCGGTGAGGTTCCAGGACCGTGGAGATGGTGGTGTTTTCAGCTAGCTAATTTTTTAGGCCATTGGGTTCTATAGATCAATGGGCACCAGGAAAATCATTTCTTAGGTCATTTGTCGGACGTTCGTTCGAGTTTCGACCTATAGATTTCTGCTACCTCATACAAGAAACTGAAGCAAGAATTTTTTTCTCATGACCAGTAACAGTAGTATGTTGAAACGGAGCAGTACAATTCAAAAACGGAGAGTAGTTGCTACTACTATATACTACTACTGTACTCTGTACTTGAGAAGGGCAATCACTATTCACTACTCAAGAAGAGAAGAGAGGAGAAAAATAAGAGAAGCAGAAAATGCCCTCCTCCATGATCCATCCCTCAAATGAAATGATGCACCGGTTAAAAGAGGGCAATATGTGTGTGTGGTATCCCTCTGAAGCTTAATTAATTTCATGGGGAAATCTTTGTCATGATTCGAGCCTTCGGTATTTCGTAAAAGCCTCTGCGGGCTGCTCCGTCACTTTCATGCCGGCCGCCACATCCAACCAAAACCTAGAGCCACAATGAAAGGATCCAGTGAAAGAAAGGATTTGGAATTGGAAGGACAACGAATTAGTGACTCCACCACCTCGCAATTATTTCTCCTCAATTATTTTGTAACAATCCAACAGGACGACACCGGCGCTGAGTGACAATTTATTACAGAAGAGTGAAGACAAAGACAACCAAACTAACCCGAAATTAATTAATCAATCTGACTAAAATAGGTTACTGTGAGTGAGTCTGTCTCTTGTCTTGTCTTGTTTTGCTACTATATATATATATATATATATACTCCATTTACTGCCGTGCCATGGTGTCCTGGAAGGTTGTTGGTTGATGAATGTTATTATAAAAAAAAAAAAAAAAAAACGTTGGTCGGTCTTTTGTTGACTAAACTTTTGACATTTATTATTGCATGCGAGCATTTGAGATGGCATGCAAATTCATATGCGTTATTTTTACTTTTACCCAACTGTTAAGCACTTGGATCCTCGGTGACATATTTTTTATGCCAATCCAATGCCACCTCTAATATTACGCCAAGTGTCCTATTATTATTTGCAGTTTAATTTTCTAATAATTCAAATTGGTTTGGTTTGACACAAGTTTTCTCTACCTTCTAAATCTTTGAACCAAAATTAACCGACCGGACCAATGATACTCATCTTATTACTTGAGCAAGCAGTGAAGTGCGCTGCCATGGCCGCCTGCTCCATCTTCCTCACTATGGCTCGGTAACAACTGACAATTTCCATCTGTGGAGGACAGAGCTGTGACGTGGCAGACCAAGTGACCGAAACACAGATGAAATAGTTGGGAGAAATTACCACGGATGAAAAAGAGAAGTAGTAATAATATGATATGCCACCGGAAACCGCTGCAATAGCTCCAAAGGGGATACGGAAATTTAGAAAAGTAGACTTGGATTGGGCTAGAAAAGCTCCATTGAATGCGATCATCGGTGCAGCCTTCGTTGCCAATTTCTTCAATAACGCTGCCATTTGTCAGTTGTTACTGAGCCATAGTGAGGACGATGGAGCGGGCGGCCATGGCAGCGCACTTCACTGCTTGCTCAAGTAATAAGATGAGTATCATTGGTCCGGTCGGTTAATTTTGGTTTAAAGGTTTAGAAGGTAAAGAAAACTTGTGTCAAATCAAATCAATTTAAATTATTAGAAAATTAAAGTGCAAATAATAATAGGACACTTGGCGTAATATTAGAGGTGGTATTGGATTGGCATAGAAAATATGTCACCGAGGATCCCAAGTGACTGTTAAGTACTACTGGCTCCTTTCTGCATTCCTTCCTGTGACGCTAGCACATTACTACTTATATATATATATAAAATTTTATTTTTAATTTTATTTCTGGCAAAGAATGGAGAGATTTAAGAAATGAAGAAACAGGAAAGAAGATGTGTATCTAGAACATCTACACTAGCACATTAATTTACTAACACTACTACTACTACTACTAGAGAGCAAAGCGAGAAAATGAAATCTAAAAATAATAATAATAAAGAAGAAGAAGAAGAGAGTACATGCACTTTTAACGACATCATTTCTATTATTATTATTATTATTATTATTATAAACAATGAAAAAAATTTGATGCAATGACATTTTTTTTTTCTTTTCCGAAACGATAAAATTTTTATTAATATGTCAAAACTATACAATATCTGAGCAACGGCTCTCAAACATCTTTACAAAAGTGTGCCTTGACACTTAAAGAAAACTTATTCATTAGGGTACATACAAAAGCTTATTCTAAGTGACTTCCAACTTGAATCAGTCCCCACATGTACGTCTCTCTATATATATACTCCATAATAGCATGCACATTAACTTTATTTTCTTCTTCCTTTTATATTATAGGTCCTATGAAGGCCCTAACTACACAATACTGCTAGTATTATTTTGCTTCAATGCATTTGCATGTACCGCCCACCAAACAAAATTAAATGATTAATTTGGATGCTTTTCATATCATATCATTCCCCATATCAAATTCTCCTCTCCTCTCCTCTCACATAATCGTACAGTCGCCAGTGATCTGCTCACTGAACTAATCACAATGACTATACCGGTATCCGCACCCGCACGCGTGCGGGGGCACAGGCCGCCAGTTCCTGCAGCAGCATCGTCCCCCTCCGTACCCTTCCGAACATAGGACACAGCAGACCGCCACTGCAAGTGGTGGCTTGGGCTTTTCGGGCTCTTTAGGCTTTGGTGGCTCCACGATCTCAATACTCTTAATGACTTTACCACCCTTGCAACATAATTGGTCGCGGATTTTCTCGGGGCTACAGCACACCACGGTGATGGTCACCAGATTTTGCTTCTCATCATATACCTGGTCTTGGATTTCTCTTGTCCAAAAAAATTGAGCATCACCCAAAAAAAAAAAAAAACTCAAATTCTTGTCCATACAAATTAAAGCCACTAACTGATCACTAGTAGTTTCGTAAGCCACACTACCCAGCTTTTGTTGTTTAATCATGGAGAAGGGGAAAAAAAAAACTGTAGCCCATGGTGGCACACATGCCTAGCCATGTATGTAGTCGGTGGAACGGTGGATGTCCTCCATCCAACTGTGCTTGCTCTAAAGAAGAACTACTACTAGTAATACTGGTATTGAAAACATAAGAGATAGAATTGATAATTATAAGAGACTCACGAGGAAATTTGCAGAGGAATTTCTTGACCTTGTAGGAGCAGGAGCATTGAAGATCAACCTCGAGTCTCATTGTAGTCACCTGTATGGTTGCATATATATTATCGGAGCAAAATAGTCAAACTCGATCCATATGTATATATAATGACGAAGCCAAGGGGCTGATGGGCCATGGCTCCTTAAGTTTTAAAAATTTTAATTCATAATATGTAGATATATGTGTAAAATTAAAGTTGATCTTTTTAATTTTTTTATAATTTTAGTTTATATTGTGAGAGTTTATATATGTGTGTGTGGAAATCATTTTGAACATAATATATTGAGATAATTTTGTTATGAAAAATTTTGATCTCTTAGAAAAAAAAAACATAGCTCCGTCGCTCTATATATATATATATATAACAATCAGGAACTGCAAAATTAAGATGCACAATTATATGGTGCTACTAGTTTTACGCTGAGAGATGTGGCTAGAGATCTTGACATAAAAAGAAGCATATTTCACGTTGTATGTGCTGTCATAGACTTGCAATTAAAATTTTTAGATTAAGCAAACACTAAAAGAGGAAAAAAAAAAGATGCAAAACAATAATATATCACGAACATTTGAGGGATGGTTGGGAAAGCTAGCAAGAGAATTGGCTTACCTTCTCAGCCATAGTTGATGAAGGAAAGAGTCAAGTCAGTGGCGATGGGTGGATCTGATCAACAGCCCAAATGATAAATGTTGGAAATGGAAGTTTTTTTCCTTTTTTTCTTGTTCCCGGGGGGAGGGGGGGGTGTTTGGGAAGGGATGTAGGCAGCAATAAACTAAACTGATGTTAAGAAATGGTTGAATTAGATGGTAGGAGCCATTTAGGTAGAATAGGTGCGAGGACTTTATATAGAAAGATAGCAACGGGGCAGCATGCAGTACTAGCATGGAAGTAGGGTGGAAATGAAATGGAAGGGGCGTTGAATTTTGATGCCGTCATCAAGACTACTTTCTCCTCCTAAAAAAAAAAAGATGGTCTGCAGTGAAAAAAAAGGAATTATAAGCCTCTTTTTGGACCATAAGTCGGAGGTTCGAACCCCACTTACAGTGAAAAAAATTCAAATGAGGTGTCAAAGTATCCTTTTGATCTAGTCAGATTCTTATACTTTATAACTACTTATACACAGTCTCTTTATACTCCCCTCCATATAGATTATGATAGATTATGTTATAAAATGTTATCATTGCCGTAAAAAAAAATTTTATCTACTTTCTAGTAGTACTAATAGGGGTGGGCTATGCTATGCACAGCCAGTGCGGCGAATTTCTCGGAATAATGTTAAAACCAAAAATTATCATAAAAGTGGTGTTAGTTGAAGAGTGTTTTTACCTAAAGAGTCGCCGCAAATAGGAAGTTGGGTTTCATAAAAAAATTGTTTAAATTTGCTTTTTTTTTTTTTTGCCAACGAAGCTAATGGAGAGGTTTTTTTTTTTTTTTTTTGCAAAAGTATGTGCGGCGAAAAATATTATATTAAAAAAGAATCACTGCAAAGCTCATGTGTGGCGATTCCTTTATTTATTTATTTATTTTCGTAAAATCCTAACCCTAACTCTAGAATCCTAATCCCTAAACCCCAGCACTAAAACCCGAATATGTAAACCCAAACCATGGAAGCCTAAAATTTAATTTACCTACGTTATTCTCGGAATAATGTCAAAATCAATTATCCAATTTATCCAATTTGCAATAAAATTTGGATAATTTGGGTAAAAATTGGGCAAATTTTTTGTAATAATGTTAAAATAAAAAATTATCACAAAAGTAGTGTTTTGTAGGGAGTTTGTCTATCATAAGGGTCGCCGCAAGTCACAATATCGACTTAAAAGTTGTCTGATTTATTTTTTATTTTTTTTCGCAGCTTAAGAATTTTTGAAGTTAAGATTTTCGATTGCATTTTTTTTTATTTTAGCCAAAAATGGACCATTGATTAACATATGATCAAGGGTCATGATTTTGAAGGAGCAAGAAAAAAAATGTTTTTTAAATCTTTTGTCGCAATACTAATTTGCGGCAAATGAATTAAAATATGTTTTTCCCTTAACCGCACATCTGATTTGTGACGGTTTGGAAAAGTTTTTTCTTTAACCGCACATCAGATATGCGGTGCTACAGAGAAGCTTTTTGACTAGTACACCTCCAACAGTACTATAGCAATTGATGCAGCAGGGACTTGAAAGATTAATCCATTGAAAGATAACAATCTATACATTGGACCGAGACAAATATTCTATCCTCAAGTGTTACGGTGGAAAAGCTTTTCGGAGGTAATTTCAGTGAGATACGCACTCCCATGCCCATCATTCAGGTATTCCCAATTCCCACAAAACCATGATGACTCTTAAGAGCAATGAAGGTGAGGTGGTTTTTTTTTTTTTAATCAGAACGGCAACATTGTATTAATAGTAAACCAATTACAGTATAGCCGGGCAACTGTCCTTACAATCTGCTTGGACTTGTTCCAGCAGCCAAACTGGGGAGTTTTCCTTTCATTCTGTATTTTGTTCCAAAGCAATAGTTACTTTAGCTAGTTTATGGCTTGTTCACCCTATTTGTAAAGGTAAAACAACATTCATCAAATTTTAACCTAAGTATCCTGATGTCATGTACAATTGATGCTATCACTACATCCTCCT